GAATAATAATATTGCAAATTATTTGCATAATCATCGCTGTATATCAAAATTCATACAAAAATATAAATGTTTTTTTTTCAAATATATTCGAAACATGTATACACCAATTTATTAGTTTAGTGAATTATTATAAGTAAAATATTTTTGGAACAGAAGAACTTCAAAGCTATTCTTTTTTGCTTTCAAAATAAAGTAAGTATACATCATTTCAACTCGGAACGCGGCTCGTTCTCTATACATATTTCATGCAAAAAAATATTTATTTAATCATAGAGTTTTACTTCAACAAATACCAACAAAGTGACAACAAACTTTTCCATTTATTTTATTTCAGTTTTTTATTTTACAACAATGGCATTTATAATGTATTATAATATCGTCTGTTATGAGCACAAATGTTTTCACTTTATTTTCACTATGTTTTTTCAATATTATAATACTTTACTTTCAAAGAATAGAAATTAATTGAATGTGTAGTTTAGTAGTTATAGTTTTAATATTAAATAACTGTTACAAAAATATTAATACATTAATATGAAATTCAGTTAAAAATAATTGTTAACAAAAATTTACGTTTTGGTGGTTGATTATGTGGGTCTGGAGTTAACTAATAATAAAAATTGTGAAGCTATCCTATTTTTTAATTTTTTGCAGTACCTACCTACTTGTATATAAAAATAAGTGAGGCTAGAAACCTATTTTATTTTATGGTCCAAACGTTTCCAGTTTACAACTATTAAACTGTAAAATACAATTTGAAAAAAGAGTTCAAAGACTCACATTCAGAACTTCAATTAAAAAGCAAAATTTAAATTAATTTATACAGAATGAAACACGAAGAATTCTTTGGTTTTAGTTTATGAAAATCTAACAATATTAAAACACGTGGAATTTAATATATATATAATTGTAATTACAGTTTTTCTTTCGAGGTATACAGGTAATAAAATTTATTTTTGAATAAAACTAAATAGTAAAATACACACATTCATATTTTATAAATGAGTATATAATATAAAGCATAGACTGAATGCAATTAATTTAATAATTAAACATTACTATTTTTAAAAAAAATCGATAACTTACCTACTTCACAACATCTGAACATACCTTCTTGTGTAAACTGTGTACCTATTATAATGTTTGATCATTTCATGAAAAATAAATGTTCAAAAGAGCGTGCGGGTAAAAACTATACCATGTATATCTCTTATATCATTAAAAAAATTAATAAATAAAATGTGCACCGCATGATCACTCCAGAATGAAAAAATAAATGTATTTTTTTAAATTAAAACTGCATAAAAAATATTATTTACGATTTCTTGAAATCACTTTAAAGTGTAAACACTATATTATAAGGCATGATATTGAAAGCAACAAATAAAAAAAGGTTTAATCATGTATAATTTGTTGTGTTGTTACTAGCTATAAAAAAAAAAAATAAATAAAAATATATAATTGAAAATTAATAGACACGTGTTGATCAATAAGAATTTACTCTTTTTGTCAGTTGAATACTATTTGCCAATTGCCATTAGGACTTATAAGAGTCACTTTTAAATGCTTGTCGAATATAATATAACAAAATCGTCAAAACCAAACGTATATTATAATAATGTACGATTTTGTTACGTTACATAATTAATGTATATGGACGTGTGATAGGAATATAATAATATGTGTTTTGTTATATGGCTTTTGTTTTTTAACGAGTTAAATATTAATATATTAAGTTCACAATATAATATTTTACTGAAGAATGATCTAACCCAGCATGACTGCGGCTCGTATAGCACTCTATTTACATTTCAAGTGCTATCAAATTCGTTCTGAAAAAAATCATAAAAATACCAATTTTATATTATACTACTATACAGTAGTTTTGTGTTGATTTGTAATACTGATATTATATGACTGAAAGAGGAATGGTGCACTGTGAACAATAAAAAAACACCAAATATTCATTTTTTTGAATTCATTGTACTTTTATTATCTTAAGTAATAAATTTCAAATTAGATCTCTATCACACATTATGAAAATTAAAAATCACTATCAAATCTCTTAGTGCAATGGAATGTACAATATTTTTAGTGGGTCCATCTTTACCCAACACAACAAACTGGATTGTTTACCCATACGAGAACCCAAATCGAGCCACGCTGAGCCCAAATCTAAGCCACAAATAGACATCGTTTGGCCTTGAGACTTATTGATTGTTATTGTATAAGTGCTCATTCAATAAAGCGTCCAGATCACCGACGATGCGTCTGGCAAAAGGTGAATTAAAGTTATTGTGCATCCACCCTCACTGTCCATCAAGTAAATTAGTAAAAATGTATGTGGTTCGTAAAGTAAATGTAAATGTAAATGTTCGAAATTGTATTTCTAGTATATTGATAATTGATATTAATAAATTTTATTTTATTAGTCACTATAGCTGATCCCGCGCAGTTCGTTACCTGTAAAAAATTACAACTTTAAAAAAATTGTGATTGTTCAACTCCTTTTGGATGCAACTCAGACTCCCTGGTAGGCAATCCGACTACGCCGGATCTCGTACATGTTTGCACCTGATCCGCCCGATTGACCAATGGCAACAAAATACAAATAACATAATAAATACTAATTTCTACTTATTATTTCTCCTATAAGCAATAGCAACCATTTGTAACAAAAATTTCCACCTTAAATCTCAAAATCCCCGTTTGACAACCTCCCCGGGATACGTTTATTATCATGATTTACAAAATAATTGAAGTTTGAAGTTTGCTTATTCTGCAGTCTTGTGAGTTGTGTCAAGATGTCTAAAACGATTAATTTTAATTTTGATATCTTTCTAAAGTAATTATTACTAGTGTTAATAATTATTTAATTCGTATACAATTTAGGTACTTTAGAAGAAAATTCACATTCATGTGACGTATATCTTATTTTTAAATGTAAAATTAACTTACTAAGATAAAATTACCAATTGTCTACATTACAGTATCGTCCTTTTCTTCTTAATGTATTAGAAGTTTCATTTTCAAAATTAGTTTCATTAAAAATACATCTATTATTAATAAATGATAGGCGAATTGAATTTGTATTGCTGATTTTATTTTTATCTGTATTATATCCAATTGAAATACTTCTGTGTTTTAAGACTTAACAAATGTTGATAGACATACCTAAACTGTTCTATACTCGTTATTGTTGTTTATTAGTATTATTTTATTTCACATTTTATTATTATTGACTGTAGTTGTATAGGTTCCTCCCTATTTATTAAATGTATTTTTATTATTATTAATATTGACTGTATTTTTATAATTATTACTAACAATATTTTTATTTTTTAATATACCTAAATCCCAATATGGTTTTAGAGAAAATTTAGGTACTGACGATGCACTAGTCCAACTCTCCAAAGACTTATATTCCAAATCAGAACAAAAAAACAAATCTTTAGGAATATTAATGGACCCGATTAAAGTATTTGACAGCATCGTATACGACAAACTGTTAAGTACAGTACAATCAATAGGTATAGTCAACAAACCTTAAAGACTTTTAGAATCCTATTTAAAAAATATAAAACAACAAGAACAAATAGGTTATACATTTAGTGGCGAACTAATAATCTACAATATAGTACCCAAAGCCACTGTACTATCGCCTATAATATATATAACATAATATGTAGCAGAACTTGGAAGCTTATTAATGCGAGCATACACTTCAAACTCTTTTCATATGCTGATGAAACGGCTCTGATAATATCCGAAAGTAATTCTAAAAAGGCTTATCAATACGCCGAGGCTGACATCAAGGCTACTATCAACAAATTATTTTATAAGCACAATTTGAGACTAAATTTGAACAAAACCAATTTTGTAACCTTTAAACAGGACAAAAGAACCCAACGGTTAATAAATGAAAATAAAATACATAATCCAAGCTGTAGATCTTAGACTAAAAATGACTTGTGGGATATAATAAAAAAAAACTGATAATATTAAATATCTATGCGTCATATTCGACCAGCATATGAAATGAGATTTTTAAATTCAAAATTTAATAATAAAATTGCGGAAAATTAATGAATTATATATAAACGCTAGCAAAATTACTTTATAAACCTATGTTACGTGTGGTTTATTTTTCAATGACTCAATCGTTATTACAATATGGCATTATAGCCTGGGGTGGACTTGGAACAGTGGCGCATAACAAATTATTAACAGCACAAAAAAGCATAATAAAAATAATTCTAAATAAACCAAAAACCTACTCGTTAGAAAAACTATTTAAAGATATGAATGTCTTCAACGTAAAACAATTATTTTATAGAAATGCATTTTATTTCACATATAAACTAAACATAGTAGAATTTAATCAGATCACACGGATAACTCGCCAAAATGATAAAATAACTATTAACACAATCAAAACTTTGAAATCCAGTAGATACTTTTTTAAATTAGGCCTTGTCGCCTTGAACTTATAAATAACGTTCTTCCTCATATTTTAAACTGTCAATCATATACAAAATTCTTAACTTCTTAAAAACATATAGCTAAAAAATTCATACATACATAACTTAATTTTCTACTTGTTTCCTATTATCATATATCTTTCTTACATACAAAAATCAAATCACCTCTATCTTTTCTTTTAATTCTCTTTTATTCTATACTTGTTTACTACTATCTTAGCGTTTATTTTTATTTTTTATTTTTCTTACGATTGTTCAACTAAATATTAATATATAATTAATTAATTGGTAAGACTCCAACTCACCAATACGAGGTTACACCTCAATGGTGAGTTGGGCCAAATACTTTCGTTATTATGTAATCAGTTACTATTTTAGTAATTACGTGTTTTCGTGTAAAATTGTTGCTATTACATGTTTAATTGTTTTTATGGCCAGATAAAATTGTATTATTATATTTAAGACGTATTCATCGTTCGGATAACGAAGTTATTGAAAATAATAAACTAATTCTTCTTCTTAATGTTCCGATCCGTTTCGGATGTTAGCGATCATCATTGATATACGAGTTTTATCAGTTGCACTCCGGAATAGTTCTACTGAATTTTTATCGAACCATGTTCTTAGATTGGCTAGCCACGATGTTCTTCTTCTTCCAGGCGATCTTTTGCTATCTATTTCCCCTTGTAGGATACATTGGAGAAGATCATATCTACGCTTGTTCGGCATAATAAGTCCTAAGTAGTGGAGTTTTCTGGATTTAACTGTTACCATTCATTGCTTTTCCTTCCCCATTCTACGCAATACCTCAATATTGGTAATCTTCTCAGTCCATGATATTCTCAAAATTCTTCTGTATAACCATAATTCAAATGCATCTAACTTATTCGAAGTCGCTTTGGTTAGAGTCCAAGTTTTTGCACCATACAAAAGAGTTGAGAACACGTAGCATCTCAGTAGTCGTATTTTTAAATGTAGAGATAGGTCGTGGCTCTTGAATGACGCACTCATTGAATTAAATACATCTCTGGCTTTTCCAATACGACACTTGATTTCTTCTGCATTGTCCCATTGTTCGTTAATGACGGTGCCAAGATATTGGTATTTATGTACTCTCTCTATTCTGATTTGATTTATGTTTATGTGGACTCCTGTGATGTCTTCCTTGCTTATAATCATAAATTTAGTTTTGTTTGTATTTATATAAAGTCCGTATCTCATGCTAGACTCTGTTATTTCATCCATAAGTATTTGAAGGCCCTCAATAGTGTCCGCAAAAACTATGGTGTCATCGGCATAATGTAAGTTAAAAAATAAAATAATTACTACAACTTAAGTTGTATTTTATTATCACTAATTCGAGTAGGACTTCAATGGAATAAATAAAGTTACGAAGGAAGCAATTGAATGGATTAGGGCCTTGAACATAGAAATCTAAATTTGTCTAAATACTATATATTATTATAATGTATTGTTATTAATATTACTTACAAATTTATTTTTAAAATGTAAATGTGTTATTTATGCCATACGAATAAATAAAAAATTAAAAAATTAAATATTAAAAATATAAAACCAGAATAAACCAAATATAAAAACTTGCTCAACGCGTATATATTATTATTCTGTATTACTATTATCTATAGAAAAAATTGTTTTTAAATTAAAAAAAAACCTATTATATGAACCACATCTATAAAATGCGTTTGATTGTTGACGCGTGGACGTACTTTTTAAATGAATTCTTTCATTTAACTTCAAAAAAAATCATATTTTAGCAATAACGTGAGAAAAATATGGTGGATATTATATCACTAGTTTCTGGAACATTTTAATTGTTCGTTGAATTAGGTGCATTTATATTTAATGGTTTTTTTCAATATCCTTTGAGTTTTATTTCCTGAACGTTTCAAGCCCCGGGAGCATAAGAAAAAAATATTTATTTTATTTGCATTTTCAAGTAAATTTTGTTTGTTGTCGACGTAACTTTTTCAATTTAATAGTAATAACTTACTTTTTTACGGTTTTTGAGTTAAATACCCACATATATATATGCATGTTATGAGAAGCGAGTAGAAAGCGCCCGTGGTATTTTGTTCCTTCGACTTTTTAAATATTATTCTGGGAAAAAATAAGCAAAAAAATGTGAAATTCAAACACAAAAATCCCATTAAGCAACAGGGTACATAAAATGTTCATATAATTTCTATGTAAAAATAATTATGAAAAAATAAATCTTAAAATTACATTTGGTGAAAAAACGTTATCTGTGATATTCTATGCCAGTAACAAGTAGCTATCTACTTGTACAAATATTTACGTGGTACTATCAACATTTTCTTGTAAGTACCTGATTTTTAATTTAAATTTACAACTTGGCAAATGTACATACTTACTTATGTAGTTAGTTTAAGCATTCTAGTCACGTTGCAATCTGTATACAATCACTATAGTAATATTTTACATCGATAAGTATGATGCTTAAGGCACTTCATACAATACCTATCTATATTTTTTTTTTTAAATTTTAATATGATGACTCGTCATTTTCAAATACATATGATAATTGGTTATAGTTGAAGGTGTATACAATACTTGATAAATATACATATAATAATAATATGTAGATATATATGGGATATTGAATTGGAGAGTATTTTGTCACTATAGACGATAAATATTATAATTTTAATATTTAAATTTGTATCTGTGATTTAAATGTCTAATCATGATGCTAAATTTATCACTAATTGTATTATAAGTACTGACTTTGTAGGTGATATTAAACATAATTAGTTTAAAACATTAATTATCAAGGTTTGTGTTGCTGATACAATTTTGTCCCCCCAGAAAAATGTCCTTAGTTGCGCCATTCATGTCTAGTAAGATCAGTGTTAAAATATTAGATATCTATCATTATACTAATTTACTGAATGAAAAAATTATCAACTTATATCGATACACTAAGTATGAACGGTATTGATTTATAAAAACATGAATATATTGCCCTATATTTTTCCGTAACATTACTCCTGATTATTGATTCGTTAAATTTTAGTTAAAAACGTTCAAATAATCAACAAATACACAGCCTCTTGCAACTAATATTGTTAAGTTTGGAAAAGAAACTTTACTGTTCTACCTTTATGCTTGATATGTAGAAGCTTTTTGATCGTGTCTGGTTCCCAGGCCTTCTTCTAAAACTTCGTAACATTCTTCCACCTTGAATTTCCTGTTCTACAAATTCTACTAAGACAACCACTCCTTTGCCAACAAAGTTCATAATGATATTTCTCCAACAATTTACTCGATAAACATATATGCACCACAAGGAGCTATCTAGTCTTATTTACTTTCCAATATATATACCTCTGATCAACCACCGTCGCCTCGTTACAACTATCCTAATGATAAGATGCTCATATCCATAAAGGAAAACCATCAAACAGCTTCTTTACAACTACAAACACACCTTAGCACTATACTTATGAGGTTTGATGTGTAGCAAATAAATTTAAATGAAAGCATATATGATGTCCTTACCACATTTAACGTCCGTAATAAAGGTACCTCTTAAATCCTTATCGTCAAGAGTCTAATCTCAACGAGCCCAAATAAAACAAATAAACATACACCTACTGAATATTGACAGCCACAATACATGGTCGTCGTACAATTGACCTTTCAGATTCACACAAAAATCTCACCTTGCATCAACTTATTAGAGCCGTCTAACCACTCGTTATTTGTTAACAAACGATATCCAAGTCCTCGTTGTCCTCATCGTCTAAAACGTCATCATGTAGGAAAAAATAAAAAATATGTCATTAGATTTTCATCCAGCTAATTACTGTTTATTATATATAACTCGATTAAGAGCCAATCACTTATCGTGCCTTTTCGAACAAATACTATGATATATTCTAATAAATTGAATACATAAAAATAATTTTCACTAGAATAGTCTATGCATAGTCTCTCTGAAACCCTGCGTTTATTATACTGTCTATTCATAAAGTATAATTAAAATTTTCCTCGTAAACGTGTCTTGTATCTACGTACTATAACTAAAACAATAAAGTAAACTGTTGTTTGTAAATTTTGAATGGGCATGCCTAAGATAAAATCGTAAATAAGTTTTTCTGATCAACCCGAGATTAAAAAGAATCTCACAAAAGCGTTTAATAACTGTTGAAGTTCAATTTAGTAGGATGTTAAAAGTTCATACGTTAACTTATTGTTGTAATTTATATTAAGTTAATTAATATTGCCTGACATAATGGACATAGGTTAGGTATCTAACCTAACCACACGAAGCAGTACATTTTCCATGCCTTTTTTTTTATGTGCGTTTTATATTTGTTTAGTTCCATTTAAAAAAAAAACCCACTGTCTCATAAACTATTAAATTATATACTTCTTATAATATATATACTATGGATATGTGGTTTTGCATACAACATATTATGTTAATTTATTAATTTTTTTTTATTAGTTTATATTTTTTAATTAAAACCTAATGGAACATGAATAAATTTAATGTACCTATAGAATGTAGAATGTACTAAAATGTAAAATAATATAATTGTATTAAATTGCGTATTAACATTTTGATAGTATTCATGAAACATGTCTATTGTGATAATTGTTTGTAAGATTAAAGTGGTGACATAATATACGGTCGCCATTGTTTTTATACGTATATAACATAATACGGACGATACCAGAGATGGAATCTGAATAAGAAATACCATACGACATTCCCCGACATCCCTTCCGTCTCTTGGGAAGGCAATCAACAAGTGTCACGTGGATTTTTATTTTTTATTTTTAGCTAGGTCTGTGTCTAGTCCAAGGGAAATATGACTCCGAAGTCAATAAAAAGGATAAAATATTGCACGAAGCTAGTCTAAATGATGAACAAGGCAATATACGATGTGTATTATACAATAGCTGGATTATTTCACTTTAAACATTAATAAATAAATGGTAGTTGATTGCTGAACGAGTTTATTATTAAAGTGTGAATGAAAAAATAAATAAAACATCGAATAACATTTTTATCTGTAACTCTGCGTGTATTATGAAAGAAAGCGTAGGCAGAAATAACCAAATACTCATAACAACTCATTTGATTTATTACCTACGTATGTTTAACATTTGCAATCAAATAACGGTGTGTTTTTTCGATGCAATTTTTAAAATATTTTTTAAGTACTTATACCTACTCGAAAAATTTACGATTTTTCATTACTGATTTGGATATCTGATTTATGAACTTTAGTAGGTACTTATTGATATTTTTTTTCTAGTATGGAACTAAAAGTTATAATTATATTTGAAATGATAAGGATTTGTGTTCAAAGACTTTTAAAAGTGGAAAAATATTTCAAACCTAAGCAGGTACTCGTGTACCTACCTATGTAAATTCGTACTATGTAATACTATTTTAGAACCTTCTATAGAGTCGTATTATAATGATATGTGGTATTATATATCATCACTGTTAAATGAAATAAATATACCACACTATCCATCATAGACTAGATGATAATATTCAGACGAAAAAATTGAAAATACTTGAAAAGTTTCTTAGATATATTGACAAATGGTTTCCTATTTTACGCATGTTTAGCATTCTGATCTAAAAGTTTTCTCATGGAATATGCGTATAAAATATAATATATTCGAAAGAGGTTTTCATTCTTCAAGGAAAAACTTTACTTATGACTTTATGTATATAAAAAAAAAAAATACAACTACGGCACGTTAGCTATATTTTATTGGCGTGGACTACAACTCTTGTAATACAAAATTCCAAGTTAAGCCTTGGCCAAAACCGAAGCATTAGAAACTTAACGAAGAAAATGGAAAAATGTCCTTGTGTCATGCATATACATTGTATAGTATAATATATAAATTTAAGTTAATCGTAATCTGTCCCCGTACAATATCAAAAATCTAGACGAAAAGGAATCGTGGTTTATTCACGTTGGCGCGATATTCGAAAATCGTTCACGAAATCTTTTGCCAATCAATCACATACATTTTTACTCAAATAATATGTATATTTGCTGAGGGGTCTGAGATTAAATTTTACGCAATTCGAATTGGAAGATCGACCGACCGTTAAAAGCAGAGAACATATTAAGGGTTTCGGGTTGTGCAAGGCATGAATTTGCATTATTTTTTTTTTTTTTTTTATATACATAAAATGCCGAGAAATAAAGCAAAGAAAGCTAATT